TTTAAATGCAGTAGTTTTTTTTTAAGAATAATACTAGATTTTGCAATTGCCCCTGTATTACTTATGTCGAGATCTTTTTTTTTTCATATGGTGTCAAGTTAGTCTAGTGTGCTTTTATCTTACAGGACTCTCTTGAATGTCTCTTGTATGATAGGTCTAGTGATAACAAAATCCCTTGGTTTTTATTTATTTGGAAATGTCTTAATTTCTTCCTCACTTTTTAAGGACACTTTTGCCAGATGCAGGCATAACTCAGAAATTTTTTTTTCAGTTCCAGACCCCCTCAATAAAGCAAGTTTCACAATAAAACCAGTCAAGTGAATTTTTTGGTTTCCTAGTACATACAAACTTATGTTTACACTCTACTAAAGTCTTAAGTGTTTTTTTTTATGTCTAAAGAAAAAATGTTCATACCTTAATTAAAAAATACTTCTTTGCTAAAAATGATCACCATCATCTGGGCTTTTAGTGAATCCTATTCACTAATCATAGATCACCATAACTTTTTTTTTAATAATGAAAAAGTTTGAGATATTGTGAGAATTACCGAAATGTGATAGATACAAAGTGAGCAAACACTGTTGGAAAAGATGGCACCAATAGACTTGTTCAACATAGGATTGCCACAAGCCTTCAGGAAGAATGCAATATTTGGGAAGCGCTATAAAGCACAATAAGATGAGGTATACATAGGAATGTTGGTTCAGTTTTTGTGTGGGGTTTTTTTTGGTTTTTTTTGGTTTTTGGTTTTTTTTTTGTTTAGCACTTTGACTCTATAGGCCCACTGTGTTCTGGCACCCAAAATTTCTGATGGGAAATCTCATATCTTATTGAGGAACCCTTGTATGTGATGGTTTGCTTTTTTCTTGTTTTTTTTAGGTTCATCTTTATGATTGGCTTTTGAAAATTTGATTACATCTTGGTGTGAGTCTCTTTGAGTTCATTCTGGAGTTTGTTGAATGTCTTGTATTTTCATATTAATGTCATTCATAATATTTTTCAGTCATTATTTCTTCAGATGTTTTGTCTACCTCTTTCTGTCTTCTGGGATTTTTTTTTTGTGTATCTTGGTCCTTTTGATGGTGTCCCTCAGATCCTTTATGTTTTGTTCCTTTTTTTTTTCTTTTTCCTTTCTAGACCTCAGCCTCAGTAATGTCTGTTGTCTTGTCATCAGAATCACTGATTCCTCTGCCTGTTTACATCTGCCTTTGAATCCCTCTAGTGAATTTTTCTGATTTTTTTTATTATTGTGCCTTTTGGCTACAGAATTCCTTTTTGGTTTCTTTTTAGGATTTTTTTATCTCTTTATTGAAGTTTCCATTTGGTTCACACATTTTCTTAATTTCCTTCATATCTTTTTTTTTTTCATATTCTATTTCTTTGAGCAACTTGAGGACTGTTGTCTTAAAGTTAGTTGTTTTTTTTTGCTAATACATATATAACCCTGGAAGTTGTAAGCCTTCAGCAGACTCCACAGGTTTACAAAAGTTTTATCAGATAGATTTGCCAGTGCAGTTATTGTTTAGGTGGGGGAGCAGATTTTTTTTTCTTCCTACTCTATGAGCTTCCCAGAATCCTAAATCATTGACTTTTAAAATCAGGTCTTTTTTGGGGTGCCTGGGTGGCTCAGTCATTAAGTGTCTGCCTTCAGCTCAGGTCGTGATCCCAGGGTCCTGGGATTGTGCCCCGCATCAGACTTCCTGCTCAGTGGGAAGCCTGCTTCTCCCTCTCCCACTCCTCCTGCTTGTGTTCCCTCTCTCGCTGTGTATCTCTCTGTCAAATAATTTTTTTTTTAAATAAAATCAGGTCTTGGGCGCCTGGGTGGCTCAGTTGGTTAAGCGACTGTTTTTTTTTCAGGTCATGATCCTGGAGTCCAGGGATCGAGTCCCACATCGGGCTCCCTGCTCAGCAGGGAGTCTGCTTCTCCCTCTGACCCTCTTCCCTCTCGTGATCTCTGTCTCTCATTCTTTTTTTTTCAAATAAATAAATAAAATCTTTAAAAAAAATAAAATAAAATCAGGTCTTTTGTTTTTTTTTCTTAAAAAACTTTCTTGTGAAACTCTTAATTTTGACCAAGAAAAATTATGCCAAGATGAATTAACAAGCAATAAACAAAACTACAAAGCCAATAAAATGTATAACTCCACAAATTTTTTTTACTCATGTCATTAATTGAAATGGACTAATAATGTTTTGCTCAAAGTAAATCACTTTTTTTTAAATATACAGTTTGTCTCTTTTTGGTGTATGATAAAATATACATGACAAAATTTTTTTTTTTAGCCTTTTTTAAGTATGCAGTTCAGTTGTATTAAGTACTGTCATATTGTCATTTTTTTTTCACCACTGTCCATCTCTAGAACTTTTTCATCATCCCAAAGTGAAACTCTCTACCCATTAAACAATAACTCCCCATTCTCTCCTTTCTCAGCTGCAAGTTCTTTTTTGGATTCTGCATTATCTGTCTTTCAGTGTGATGCTTTAGTTCTTTTATCAGTTTGCTCTGTTGGAAATGCTTTTTTTTTTTCATTCATAGTTTTCTATGATACTTGGTATTTGCTTGTCAGGAATTTATCATTTTTTTTTGAAGATTGCTTCTTTCATTAGTGTTCTCAGCGTGAAGTAGTTGTTTTTTTTTTTTTTTTTAAGATTTATTCAGAGAGACAGTGCATGTGCAAGTGGGGGTGGGGGAGAGAGGGAGAGAGAATCCCAAGCGGACTCCTTGCTCAGCACAGAGCCAGATGCATAGCTCGATCTTACCTGACATCAACCCTGAGATCACGACCTGAGCCGAAATCAAGAGTCAGATGCTTAACTGAGCCACCCAGACGCCTCTTAAAGTAATTTTTAAAAATCACTTAATGAGAGCAAATACAAATAGCATGTGGTAGTCTCTCAGATGATACAGAATATACTTAAATATTTTCAATTAACATTAAAACAAAAAAATTTTTTAAAAGATTTTGTTTATTTGACAGAGCAAGCACAAGCCAGAGGAGCAGCATTTTTTTTGAGAAGCAGGCTCCCCACTGAGCAGGGAGCCTGATGTGGGGCTCAATCCCAGGTTTTTTTTATCATGACCTGAGCTGAAGGCAGACGCTTACTCAACTGAGCCACCCAGGCACCTTTTTTTTAAAAGAAGACTTAAAAAAAATTTGTAGACTTTGCACAAGTATTAGATCTCCAGTTTTTTTTATACAGAACTAGGTTATTTCTTGTAGACCTCGTCATAAGAGCATCAGCGAATGTTTTTTTTTTAAGAATAGGGAGGGATAGCTCTGAGAGAGCAGAAAGTATGGCAGCAAATCCAGATGTGAAGGGATTAACAGAGCCAAGGGTGACTCCAATGATAGGAGCCTGAGCTATCAAGTTTTTTTTTTTATCACTAACAGAAGTAGGGAAATATGGTAGAAAAGCAATTTTGATTAAAATTTTTTTTTTGGGGGAGCCTGGGTGGCTCAGATGGTTAAGCATCTGCCTTCGGCTCAGGTCATGATCCCGGGGTCCTGGGATCGAGTCCCGCATCGGGCTCCCTGGTCCTTGGGAGCCTGCTTTTTTTTTTGCCTCTCTCTCTCTGTCTCTGTCTCTCATGAATAAATAAATAAAATCTTTAATTTTTTTTCACCATTTGTTGGGTTAGCAACCTAAATCTGTGCAGGAAGCAGAGATATATGATTTTTTTTGTGATTGAGGAGTTACTGACATAGAGCAGTTGAGATTGATGACTGAGTTTTCCTCTAGAATGAGAGAATGCATATTTAGGTCAGCAAGAACAAGAGTGTTAAGGTTTCTTCTGTTTTTTTTTGCAAGAAGCAGGAACAGTGGAGGACCCAAGATGTAAGATGAGAATCATGGTAATTTTTTTTTGGAATCCAAGGAAGGCAGGTATTAAGATGGCAGAAGCCAGCACTGTAGAATGTTTTTTTTCATGAGGGCAATAAAAGATGACCAAAAAAAAGTGCATTAACAGGCAATGTATTCATTCACTGAAATTTTACTCTTTTTCAAGGAAATTGAATTTTTTTCTCAATGAAGAATATCTTTTTTTTGTGTTTTTAAAGGAGATTATGCTAGTTCTTAATCCTTTGGAATTTTACTCCCTGTATTAGATTTCCTGTGACTCTTTCTTACTATTAAATGCTCTGTGATACTTTACTTGTTTTAGAGGTTAGAGTTAAGGATTGTCTGGGTGGCTCAGTCGGTTGAGCGTCTGACTTGATTTTGGTTCAGGTCTTGATCTCAGGGTCTTGAGTTCAAGCCCCATGTTGAGCTCCACACTGGGCCTGGAGCCTACTTAAAAGAATAATTTGAGATGACTTGGGATATCAGACATTTAGTTTGGAATATTTTAAAGATTCCACCTTAAAAAAAACATTTTATTTTTTTAATTAGTTAATTTACTGATGTTTTTTTTTATGATTCATGTTTTGTGTATAACACCCAGTGCTCCATTCAGTATGTGCCCTCTTTTTTTTTCATCACCAGACTAACCCATCCCCCCCCAAAAAGACACTTTAGTGTTGCACCGTTTTTTTTTTATAATTTCTTTTTTTTTTTAAAGATTTTATTTATTTATTTGACAGAGAGACATTTTTTTTGCAGGAGCACAAGCAGGGGGAGTGGGAGAGGGAGAAGCAAGCTTCCCGCGGAGCAGGGAGCCCGATGTTGGACTCGATCCCAGGACCCTGGGATCATGACCTGAGCCGAAGGCATTTTTTTTACGACTGAGCCACCCAGGCGCCCTCCTGTTATAATTTCTTTTACACTTGTTTGTTTTTTTTAGAAATATAATAGTATAATTTAGTTAGCTTTGTGTTCATTTGAGATTAAAAATTACAGTGTTAGTAGCCACACTGGTTTTGAGAAAAATCAGGCAGTTTTCATGGGAAGAAAGTAAGAAAGACAAAATGGAAATGGTTTAAGAAATTTGTAGTTATTAGATAAAACACTTTTTAGTGGTTTCTTCATTGGAGTAAGTATTTGTTATATTTGCTTTTTAGAAAATCACTTCGAGAAATTTTTTTTTCAGATTCTGAAGGATGGGCCTCCTCAAAAGATCTGAGAAGTCATCTTGGACATTTTTTTTCAGAACTTCGTTTTCTAAGCACACTTACTGGCATCAGTATAAGAAATTACTCCTTTTTTTTAGAGGACCTTACAAACACTGAGAAGAAAGAAAAGAGTAAGCATTAATTTTTAATTTTTTTTTTT